ATCTCCTTAAATTTGGGTTCATCACAAATCCTATCAATCCATATCCATACATTTATCATCACAACTCTCACATATTGTATTTTCTGCTTTATTTTGATGATAATCTTCTAATTGTGGATGATCTCGGGCTAATGCACCAACTTCAACATGACCTACAACATCACTTCACTATGAAATTTTCAGACTTGTTTTCTACTTTCCTCAGGATCAACATTATTCTCATTTCATATGTTTATCATCTCAATCAAACTAGTTATGTTTACCACATTCTCCGTCGAGCGAGAATGTCAACATGTAAACCAACCTCTACTCTATAAACCATAGCTTCCAAAGATTTATCAGATTCTCTAGATCTCTTTCTAAATCCCTCTCTATACAGGCAACTAGTTGGCTCACTCCATTATCTTACATTGACTAGACCAGAGGTTATGGTTGTCGTTAACTCTCTCTCTCTCTCTCTCAACACCTTCAACACCCTCTTCAGTCACATTATCAACATCTTACACACCTCCTACAATATATTCATGGCTCTCACTGTTCATACTTATGTCGATGCAAGTCAGATCAGTGACGTGAAGGACATGAAATCTATTACAGGGTATTGCACATTCATAGGTCCTCTTCTCTCGTGAAATGTGAAAAAACAACCAACAGTTGCTATATCATCAACTGAGGCGGAATATCGAGCTCTATCATCAGCAGTGATAATGTTATATTGCTCTGACATCTTCTGCATGTTTTCACCTCTACACCTACCACAATTCACCGTGATAATAGATTTGTCATGGCAATACCTCAGAACCCTATCTTTCATGCTCGAACTAAGCATATTGAAATAAACTATTTTATCATTCAGGATCATATCCATTGTAATGCAATTACCCTAATATATGTGCCATCGGAGGAGCAACTAGTGGATATACTTACCAAGGCCCTTCCTGCTCCAGGGTTTCATTGTTCGGAGTAAACTAACAATATCTCCACCATACATTGTAAGCTTGCGAGGGGGGCTAATATCGAGCCTGAATAAGGTCGATATATGTGGTTATTTATGAGCTTAATATCTATTTTAAGGATGTAATCTCTTAGCTAGCTATATTTATATAGACTCCCTATGTATATAAAGCAACAAATATTTTCTCCTCCTCATCTCTTTTCATACGCCAATTTTCAAACATAACTAAGAAAATAAAAAGGTAAAAACAAAAATATAATAGACGAATAATCATGCATATTTCATAAAAGGTAAGGAGAAAATCAAGCTGAGGATAATTAGAGGAAGACAAATTCTTGATGATATCAAAATATTCAAACCGTTCTTCATGATTTCCAATAAAAATATGACATACGATAAAAATTACACTTTAACCGGTCCAACCACCAGCTCTAGCCAGTTGATTGGTTCTACCGCCAGTTCCAGTCAGTTCATTCCAGTTCAATGCAGAGCCGGTTTTCAGCCCAACCAAAACCGGACCACCAACTGATTCACGGACGAACCGGTCCGCTCGGTCCGATTTTTAAAACATTGGTTTGGCTTTGACTGTAACTTAGATTTACGTTAAGTGAGATTTATCAAATCCGATGAATATGAATTTATCTCCGGCTTCGGAGTTTGTGAGTCACAACGGAATAAATCCACCTCTCAATAGGATTTA